AGCCATCTCCCCGACCCTTTGTTTTTGTTTTTTGTTTTTGCTTTTGTTTTTTGTTTTGTTTTGTTTTTTTCATGCTCCATTTCTTTATCACATCTCTCCATCTAGTCACACCCATCTATTTCCTGTTTCCTCTGAAAAGCTATAGATTTTTTTCTTAAAACTTTTTTATTAATTTTATTGAGAAACAAATAGCAACGAGACAGTTTCAAAACCAATTAGTAGGACAGTTTCAATGATTAATACATTGCATATTGCTGTCTTCATAGTAGTGATTCATAGTACAAGAGGCAGACAGGATGTCCTGTCCAAACATTATTAATACAAATCTTTCTTCTCATTGAGTTAAGAGAAAGTAGCTGTATATCTATCCTATTTTGTATATACAGATACAAAATGATCCGTCATTGTATCCCCTGTTTTTGTTTAGTTTTGTCAGAGATGGGTATTCCATTGCCATTTAAATATTATAGGTGTGTGAATTCAGCAAAATAATCCAATATAGTCCACTAGTCCATAATAGTAGTGGGTTATCCATAGGACTGGCACTGTCAGAAGTTGTTGACTTGAGCCTTTCACAGCTCAGCATATTAATATGGTTTTAATTTTATACCTCATTTTTATACTTTTCTAACTTTCTATATTTGGGGAGGAGATTTCATGGAATTAACACATTATTAAGTTTCTATTTCCCAGGCCAAATATGTGTTTCAGTAACATTTGTAGTGAGCACATGGTTAATTTTGGCAAAGTTTTTCTAAATAATAATTGGGTAAGAAAGGAGGAAAGCAGAAATTAGGCTAACATGCTAGTATTTGCACTTGTGTAGGGTCCTTGCTTTATGTGTTTCATCCTCACATTGAATCTGCTGGTTAGATATGTATCATTGAAAAGATGCAGAGTCGTGTTAACAAGTCTATTAACTAATGACTAGCTTAATTCCTAATTTAATGGTAAATTGTTTGTTAATGATTTATTCTTGTTTCCCCTCCAATCCTTTCAGCATCCAGGGCCATGTATTTTGACATCCCACTGGAGCCTGGAGAAACAAGTATCATTAAAAGGCATCCACCACGAAGACTGCAAGTAAGATGAATTTAAAAGGCTTCATAAGGAATTCCTTGGATTTAATAGTAACATCCCCCTTTAACTATAGTCATAAAAGAGGGAGGTTAGATAAGCTTTTGTTGAAGATGTTGTCAAAGGGCTGAGGTGGTAGTTCACTGGTACAGCACCTGCATGCATGAGGCCCTGGGTTCAATCCTCACGACTCCAGAAAAAGAGAATGTGGCCAATTATGAAAACTACAGTACTAAGGATTTCCTTTAATAATAATTTCACTTTTAAAATCCACAAAAATGGGCCAGGGAGATAGCTTAATTGCATAAGCACCTGCCCTGGCAAGCACAAAGTCCCAAGATTGGTCACTGGTACCCCCCCCCAAAA